TCCGGATGGTGGTGATCCTTTCTGGTGTGAAGTGATAAAAAATAAATCTCATTGTGGTTTTAATTTGCATTTCTCTGATGATTAGCGATGTGGAGCATCTTTTCATGTTTCTATTGGCCATCTGAATTTCTTCTTTGGAGAAGTGTCTGTTCACATCATGTGCCCATTTTTTAATTGGATTATTTGCTTTTTGTTTGTTGAAGTGTGTGAGCTCTTTATATATTTTGGATGTCAAGCCTTTATCGGACATATCATTTATGAATATATTCTCCCATAGTGCAGGACGCCTTTTTATTCTATTGATAGTGTAATTTGCTGTACAGAAGTTTTTCAGCTTGATATAGTCCCACTCATTCATTTTTGCTTTTGTTTCCCTTGCCTAGGGAGATATGTTCATGAAGAAGTTGCTCATGTTTATGTCCAAGATATTTTTGCCTATGTTTTTTCCTAAGAGTTTTATGGTTTCATAACATACATTCAGGTCTTTGATCCATTTCAAATTTACTTTTGTGTATGGGGTTAGACAATGATCCAGTTTCATTCTCTTACATGTAGCTATCCAGTTTTGCCAACAGCAGTTGTTGAAGAGGCTGTCATTTTCCCATTGTATATCCATGGCTCCTTTATGATATATTGGTTGACTGTATTTGTTTGGGTTTATATCTGGGCTCTCTAGTTTGTTCCACTGGTCTGTTGGTCTGTTCTTGTGCGTACCAAATTGTCTTGATTACTGTGACTTGGTAGTAGAGTTTGAAGTTGGGAAGCGAGATGCCCTCTGCTTTATTCTTCCTTCTCAGGATTGCTTTGGCTATTTGGGGTCTTTTGTGGTTCCATATGAATTTTAGAACTATTTGTTCCAGTTCGTTGAAGAATGCTGTTGGCATTCTGATAGGGATTACATTGAATCTGTAGATTGCTTTAGGCAGGATGGCCAGTTTGACAATATTAATTCTTCCTAGCCAAGAGCATGCAATGAGTTTCCATTTATTAGTGTCCTCTTTAATTTCTCTTAAGAGTGTCTTGTAGTTTTCAAGGTATAGGTTTTTCACTTCCTTCATTAGGTTTATTCCTAGGTATTTTATTCTTTTTGATACAATTGTGAATGGAATTGTTTTCCTGATTTCTCTGTTAGTTCATCGTTAGTGTATAGGAAAGCAACAGATTTCTGGGTATTAATTTTGTATCCTGCAACTTTGCTGAATTCAGATATTACTTCTAGTGTTTTTGGAGTGCAGTGTTTAGGATTTTTTTATGTACAATATCACGTCATCTGCAAATGGACAGTTTGACTTCTTCCTTACCTATCTGGATGCCTTGTATTTCTTTGTTTTGTCTGATTGCCGTGGCTACGACCTCCAGTACTATGCTGAATAACAGTGGGGAGAGTGGGCATCCCTGTCTTGTTCTCGATATTAGGTGAAAAGCTTTCAGCTTCTCACTGTTAAGTATGTGTTGGCTGTGGGTTTGTCATAACCTTCATTATGTTGAGGTACTTGCCCTCTATACCCATTTTGTTGAGTTTTTACCATGAATGGATGTTGAATTTTGTTGAATGCTTTTTAAGCATCTATGGAGATGATCATGTAGTTTTTGTCCTTTCTGTTGATGTGGTGGATGATGTTGATGGGTTTTTGAATATTATATCATCTCTCTTATCTTTATTGATCTAGCCAGGGGATTAACAATTTTACTAGCCATTTCAAAGAATCAACAATTGGTTTTGCTGATATTGTATTAAATTTTCTTCCATTTTATTAATTTCTGCTTTCATTATTTCATTTCTTCTATTTAAGGAAGGGAATTTGCTACTCATTTTCTTCTTTAAGGAAATGCTTATTTAAATCATCATTTAGCCTTTCTTCTGATTTGATATAAGGATTTAAGGCTATAAATTTCCTATTGTCTTAACCACAGTCGTTAAATTTTATGTAAAGTTCATTAGTAATTTGAAATATTTTGTATTATTCATTGTGGTATCTGTAATATTTTGTGAGTTTATTCCTTACTTTTGAAATATATATTCTTTTTTTTTGCTACTGATTTCTGGTTTAATTGTATTGCACTGGATAACTTAAATTTTGATCTTTCAAATTTGTTGACACACTTTATGGCCCAGTATATGGTCACTAAAAAATGTTGCAAGCATGCTAAAAAAATGCATTCTGCATTTGATGGGTGGTGTGTTTGTTGATCATGCTGTTCAATCTTCAGTATTCTTTCTGATTTTATTTACTTTTCCCAATTACTCAGGTGTTAAAATCTCCAACCATGAATCTGAATTTATCTACCCTCCTTATACTTCTGTAAACCTTATGATTATCCTGCTGAATTGCAAGTTTTATCAGTGTTTATCTTTACCTGTACTAAGGTAACTTCCAGCTTATTTTGAAAGACATAAAAATGTCCAAGATATTTTTGCCTATGTTTTTTCCTAAGAGTTTTATGGTTTCATAACATATTTTCAGGTCTTTGATCCATTTCAAATTTACTTTTGTGTATGGGGTTAGACAATGACTCAGTTTCATTCTCTTACATGTAGCTGTCCAGTTTTGCCAACACCAGCTGTTGAAGAGGCTGCCATTTCTTTTGTGTCGCATTACTATACATCTATCAGCCTTCTCTTGATTCATGTTCAATGGTTTTTCATTTTAAATTACTAGGTCAATTTTCCTGTATTAGGTCTACATGTCTCTTTTAAATAGCAAATATGTATTTTTAAAATTCAATCTGAAATTTTATTTTAAACCAAGGTGCTCAATCCATTTACATTTAACTGTGGTATATGTGGGTTTCAATGTACTGTCTCATTATGTCCTTCCAATTTGCCCTGCTGTATATTTCTTTCCTCTTTAGATTATTTAATATCATCTCATTATTTTTACTCTTTTCATTTTCAAATTATACCTCTTTTTTTTGGGTGGTTAATCTAGAAATTGTAAGAGGAGGCCTCTTCAACAGTGTCTAATGCTGGCAACTGTCCCTCTGCCAGACACTAACTCCATTTGCCCCAACTTTCAACTCATAGGTCACTCTTCCCATGTATTCTAAGTCTCTATGAGTTGTGGATGTGTATATGGGCACCATTTGTTTCTACAGTTTCTTATCTGTAGTATTTGCCTTTTTTTGTTATGTTACCTTACATTACATTTGGGCACTGCACTCAAGAATTCACTTTTCAAAATAATTTGAGGCTGAAGATATCCCCCAGAGAGGATTTGTTTTGGTCAGGACATGGGGGCACCAAAAGTCTGAGATCACCTTAGTCCTAATACTCTTTACCAGGGTAACAGTTACCAATACTTTGCCATTCTTGTTTCTGCTACACCTCCTTTAAAATTTCTCAAGGATGTCTTTTAAAATTATTTGTTTGTTTGTTTGTTTCTAAATTAAACTGGATGATGCAGCATCCCCAAGGGCTGGTTTACTCCAAGTTCAGCCTCAATCCTAGGGTTCTACTATTTAGGGTTCTCGTTAAAGCATGAGCCACTCTCAGCTGCTTCAAGTATGTCGGGATTTCCTTCCTCTTCTGCATCCTGGAGTAGTAATTCACTAACTGATTAGCTCTTTGATACTTTAAATATGTATGTTTGTTTTTATCCAGTTTGCTTGTTTCTGTTTACTTTTAGTAGGTGAATTTGTCTAAAGTACCTATTCTGCTATTACTGGAAGTCCCCCTAAATGACTACAATTAGAGTTCCAATTCTGCATCTAGTCTTGCTGTGGTTACAGCATACCTTAGGTTTTTTTTTTTATCAGATATGCCCATTGTAGAGAATACTATGAAAGTTTCGATATGCTAACAAACTGGATAAACTAGAAGAAATGTACAACTTTCTAGAAAAATACAACCTTCCAAGGCTGACCAAGGAAGAAACAGAAAATCTAAACAAACCAATTACCAGCAACGAAATTGAATTGGTAATCAAAAAACTACCCAAGAACAAAACTCCCGGGTCCACATGGATTCACAGCTGAATTTTATCAGACATTCAGAGAAGACATAATACTCATTCTCCTTAAAGTTTTCCAAAAAATACAAGAGGAGGGAATACTTCCAAACTCATTCTATGAAGCCAGCATCACTGTAACACCAAAACCGGGCAAAGACACCAGAAAAAAAGAAAATTACAGACCAATATCCCTGATGAACATAGATGCAAAATGACTCAACAAAATACTAGCAAACCGAATTCAAAAATACATCAAGAGGATCATACACCATGATCAAGTGGGATTCCTCCCAGGGATGCAAGGATGGTACAAAAATCCATCAACAACATCTACCACATCAACAAAAAGGTCATACACTTTTTTTATTAGATTCTCAAATGATCCTGAGAAATTCACCTGTGAGAAAAGTATTTTATGATCCCCGTTTTTTTTTAAACAAGTAAATGGGATAAATATTTGCAGTTATACACTCCCATTATTCTTTTGGTTTTATCTAGCGTCCCTGTTACCTTCTCTCAAATAACTTAGGATGTGCCACTTCTTTCTCTCTTAAGCCTGATTCTTTTTACAAGTGTTAAAATTTCTAGTGTTCAAAAAATCCTTTGGTGTAGGTTTTAGTTCAAAAGAATTTATTAACCAGTATTCTTAATTCCTTCCAACATGTCAGATAACAAATCTTCTAAAGATAACTAAGTCTTCGATCTGACATATTAATGTATAATTGATAATTTAAGTGAATATAAAAGTTCATTATTTTTTAATCATGTTCCCAAAGAATAAGTTATAAATCTGTGAATAACAGTCCATTAAATTAACATTTATACATTCATTTATACAAAGAAGAAATGGAAACTCCTATTATATTCAAGGCTAGAATTCTGCCAATATTTGCTGTTTTTCATATACACATGTAACACACACACACACACACAGAGCTTGGTATAGAAAGTAACTGAATTTTCCTATCTTTTCTTATTTTTAAAAACATTTTTATTAAGGTATTATTGATACACATTCTTATGAAGGTTTCACATGAAAAAACAGTGTGGTTACCACATTTATCCATATTATCAAGTTCCCACCCATACCCCAGTGCAGTCACTGTCCATCAGTGCAGCAAGATGCCACAGATTCACTGCTTACCTTCTCTGCGCTACTCTGATCTTTTCTTAACAGCTAAAAGTAGTATTCTAGAGAAGGGCAAGATTCTCAATCTTATTGATCACACTCTCATTTGGGGAAAAATAATCATACTCTCCTAACATACAAATATTTATAAAGTACTTGTGTATAAAATGCATTACATATAATTAAATACACACACAAAAGAAGAAAAAATGAATTATGGATAAAGTATATAATATTTTAAATTGTATCAGTGACAAGGTGTATGGGTACAATTGACAGTAATGTGATCCAATGTAATTTAACCTGACTGCCAATTAGACTACTATCATCTTCAATTCCATAACGTGGCTAAAGAGTAAATACTGGGTCTAGAAGGATTCTTAGTCTGAGGACTTTTTATGTCTGCTGACAGTTTGGGCCCCCTTCAACCTACAATAAAAGCCGTTCCTAGATAAGGATTTGTCATTCATTAGGGAGACAATCCCAGGAGGCGCCATGAGAATGGGGAAGTAAGTTAGAGGACGGGAGGCAAAAATCAGTTTGTTAATGAATAGATTACTGCTGTGAGCAACTGGGCATCAGTCCCCTGTGGAGGCCACTATGAGAAGACCTCAGTGTCCTCTTACTATGGAGTGAGGAAGATGGCATGTTGGCATGTTCATAAACCAAATCCTGACCCTCACTGTTTCACCCACTAAGGACTGCCCAGCCTGTCCAACATGCAGTCCAGCAGGGTCTTGGCATCCAGGAGACACCTTCAGAGGCCTTGGGTTTGGGAACTGCCAGCAAGCTACAGGAGGGGCAGGGTACATGGGAGGGGCACAGACAGCATACGCTACATCTACTCCACCTGCACCATGAAGAATATGGCCTTCAATCTTAGTTTCTTTGCAGGATTCCTTTTAAACCCTTAAAAAGAATCTTCATTAGATGAGTCAATTTACAGTTAGCAGTTTTAACTAAGTAGGTATATAGATGAACACACCCTTGAGACCACCAGTCAATTCGCTCCACATTTCCTATGCAGTACCTCACGTATGTATGCAACACGTGACGATCTGACATACAGACTGAATGAGCACACCAGGGTATCTGAGTGTCAGATACTGGCATAATCTAATCTTTCCTTAGATTAAAATATATAAATATAAGTTCTGGAATTTTCTTCCTGCTCCATAGGACATTACCTTTCATGCTCAAGGCACGAGCTCCCCATTCTGGCCATCACTGGAACCAAGTATGTAGAGCTGTGACCAGCTCTCAGCTGGAAATAATTCATTTCGGGTATGTCCGGACTATTCTAAATTGTAAGAAAATACTAGCACACAGTTCTAATAGAGTTTCAGTATTTGCCTACCACTTAATGAAATGGAAATTTCAAAATGATTTTCACAGAATTCCTTGAATGGATAACTTATTTCCCCGTGTTTTAAAAATTACACAGAAACCCAAACACAACACACCTCCACACTGGAATTCAGTGTAACTCAGATCAGAATGTTCTGACTTTCCATAGTTTTTGGTGTGAAAGACAGATCATAGGATCCTTGTTTTCATCCATCTTATAGAAAAAAACAGCTCTACAGAAACATTTCACAAAGTCACAGCTTCCTAAAGGGGTTATGTTATGAGAAATCAGAAATTCACTTCAACTTTCCTAAACAAGTAACTACTTAACTGAAACCAGAAATGTGACATGAAGTTATAAAAGACCATTTTATTTAGGCTGAAATGTGTATATTATTTTTTATTTAGTTTTAAAAACAAGCTTAATATACAGCTAAATTGCTAATATTACTTGATTAATCTTTGACAACCTAGGAATAGGACAGTCTGAGGCTTTACAGTACTAGTTTAAGAAATCCATTCTGTGTAGAAATACTGTTCTGTTTATTCCTCTAGAGTTTAAAACTATAGAATAGAATCATCTTAGCTTATTACGGACATTTTAATTTTGGCGTACTATCCTACAATAAATCTATTTTTATGATACATATCAACAGAACTCAATGCCACTTTCTCCAATAACAAATAAATGTTTTCTTAGAGTATTACTTTTTAAATGACGTGAAACCAAAGAAAATTGTTTGCTGGCTTGAGAATCATCTTGTTTGGAGAAAAATATCCTGTGCTTCACTATTTGCTGCCACGCCTTACAGAGGTAGGGTCTATAGTCCATGTCCACACCACCTGGACGGTTAGAGGCGGAGGACGGCCCTTCTGCTGAGTCTGAGGTTCTCTGCATTATACTTTGTGTTGTTGCAAGAAGAACCAAGCGATACTCATTTACAAGTTTCTCTAGTAACTGAGAACATTTCTTCAGAGTAGACTCCTGTAAGTTGACACTTTCTCCTCCATTGACACGGTCTATCCAGTAAAAAGCTGACAGGCTATCCACAATCAACAGGCAGAGAGATGGGTGACTACAAAACATAGCTTCTAGCGAGTGAAGCGTAAGGAGGAGCTGAGTACTGCCACCGCAGCACACCAGAAAGAACCTTCCAAGGCAGCACTTCACAGTGTCCTCAGAACTTTGGGAAAGCCTATGCTCGAGAATTGTAACGAGCCGGAGCATATCAAAGTGGTAATCTGTATCAATAAATAAGACTTCAACTTCCAGTCCACCTTCTGATTTTGGTAGTATACATCGTGCTGTTAAATGATAAAGCATTTCTGTTTTTCCTGTTCCTTCTGGACCATGAAATTCAAGAATATCACCTGTGTAAAATTTAAAAATATCAGTCAAAATGCAGCAGCACAATAATAGTAGGCTATAAAATGAAAAGTCTACAAAAATAGTTTCTAAAAATTTACTGGAATGTGAAGGAAAATCTGCCAGAATAGAGCCACATTAACCAATAAATAAGGAAATTAAAAGAAAATCACTAAATTTCAAGGCTTCAGTTATTAATCATAATCAAGAGAATGTGACAGAATGTCAAGGCTGAAAAGCAAGGGTCCTCAGGGAATCCCTGGGGATGGGTCCCTGTGCACATGCTTTAGTGTGGCATTGGCAATACTACAGAAGCAAGAATAATGTGCCACAAGATCTAGGGCCTTTCAAAAATCTACTGACCTGAGGTGGGCCCTTGGGGGATGAGGGGTGGACTCTAAGGAGTGGCAGTGGATCCTTATGGGGGTGGAGGACGAAGACAGGGGGGTGCCCAGGACTCCGATGACAATATGGGGCCCCCACCAGCTATGCCCAGCCTGCCTTCACCTGGGAACAGCCCTGCGCCCTGCCAGACTGCCTTCAGTTACTCTGCTATAACCTGTCCAGCTGCAATGACAACAGCCTTGTAGGTTACTTTCCTAGCCTTATAAACGAAAGTCAGCTACTCTCAACTTTAAAACTCCAAATCTCTTTCTATATAGGTCTTAGTAATTCTCTTTCATTGAGGACAGCACAGACTAAGTAAAACACTGGAGGAAACTGTCCTGCCTCCAGAGCTTTTCAAAATCTACTCTAAAGAGTAGCCTTCTAATTCCTGCTATTTTGTTTGCCATTTAATTTATGGCTGAACCACGTAATTAGAAACACTGTGTTAAAAATGCACATTCTTAGGCCTCAAATTAGTCTATCTGAGAATCCAGTTACTTTTATTTCCTATTATTACTAACAAACCATTGTATGTTGGAACAGTAACAAATAACGTGTAAGAAATCTAGCAAGCTGCCACCATACCATATTTAAGGTATTATAAAGTTCAGTCCATTTCCACTATCATCTTAGACATACAATTTGCCATTCAAAATTCTTATTACAGAGAATCCCCCTCACCACCCAAGATTCAAGCCTCAAGGAATAAAACTCTTTTCATATTCACAGTTGTTCATAGGTGCTCTTATTAAAAGCTAACATAGTGACTAAAACTACATTTAACCCAGATGTTCAGTGTACTCTCTCCTAGTGTATTACTAAGGAGCTAAGCTGAAGTCCTCTCCCTGTCCTGAAGTCTCTTACTGCCTCTATTATAGAAAGAGAATAAACGACACAGACTAGATAAAGAAATGCTAATGCAGAACCAGTATTAACAGTGTGAAAGCAAGGAAAACAGCAAGATTAATCTGAAAGCAGTTTGTAGGACACGACGGACCATGCAGACACTTGATGGCGAACCCAGCCAGCAGACTGCACCGAATCCTCCCTCTACTTCCCGAGGCTGATCAGCAGCAATTCACCTTTCTTTACAAATGAAAAGGCACAACTTCATGATATCTCACTTGATCCTAGTATCAACAGATACGAAAAGCAAACTTTATTATCTCCCATCATCACATTCACCATGCTATACATGGTAAACTTTGATTATTTACTGGATTATATTTCTAGTTCACTACTTTAAGGTTAGAACTTGAATATTCTCTCCCCAGCACAAAACATAGTGTTTTCTGAATGCAGTTCATTAGATACTTTCTTCTGGAACTTCCTGAGAGACAAGTAAAGATGAAAATGTAAGTCATGATTTAGTGAGGATTAAAGGACCAAACGTCAGCTTTATAACAATGGCATTAAGAAAGGAAGCCAGTCTGGTGAGGAGTCCTAGGTTAGCAGAGTCTGGCAAGTATGAAGCCCCAAGTCCAAGGCTTGGAAAGAGACCAGCACAGGAAGGGAAGGAAGGGCAGGAACAAAGTGTCCAGAGCTAGTCAGGCCCCACTGGCTGCCCCAGGCCCAAGCAGGGCTGACACTTGGTCCCCTTCATTTAGTTAGAAGGCACGGGGAAGCCTATATTGGGGATCTGAAAGTTCTTTTCTAATTTAAAAGGCTTGGAAGTACCAGTATGAATCCAAGACATAAGCAAACTAGGGACTTTAAATTCACATGATCACATAAACATCCCCCAAAAATTTAGTTTTCAAAACAGTATGTTAAGATGTATCTCTAGGTCTCACAAAATAAAAATGTCCTATAGCCATTAGGATTTCAGATTCTAGATAATAAGAGGCTATATACAGCAATCTGGAAGTAAGCTACACAGAGGTAGAGAACAAGAAGCTCTCTGGTGGGTGGGTGTGAACCTAAAATTAAGAATACAGGGCCAGAAACTCAATTATTGAGATAGAACCACAGTCAGAGCAGTCAGCATGAAGACAGATTTAAAAAATCAGGAGGAAACCACAAAAGACCCCAAAGAGCCAAAGCAATCCTGAGAAGGAAGAATAAAGCAGGGGGAATTACACTCCCCAACTTCAAGCTCTACTACAAAGCCACAGTAATCAAGACAATTTGGTACTGGCACAAGAACAGACCCACAGACCAATGGAATGGACTAGAGAGCCCAGATATAAGTCCAAGCATATACGGTCAATTAATATACGATAAAGGAGCCATGGATATACAATGGGGAAAGGACAGCCTCTTCCACAACTGGTGTTGCTAAACTGGACAGCTCCATGCAAGAGAATGAAACTGGATTATTGTTTAACCCCATACACAAAAGTAAACTCGAAATGGATCAAAGACCTGAATGTAAGTCATGAAACCATAAAACTCCTAGAAGACAACATAGGCAAAAATCTCCTGAATATAAGCATGAGCAACTTCTTCCTGAACGCATCTCCTTGAGCAAGGGAAACAAAAGCAAAAAAGAACACACGGGACTACATCAAACTAAAATGTTTCTGTATGGCAAAGAACACCATGAACAGAACAAAAAGGTATCCTACAGTATGGGAGAATATATTTGTAAATGACATATCCAACAAGGGGTTAACATCCAAAGTATATAAAGAACTCACACACCTCAACACCCAAAAAGCAAATAACCCGATTAAAAAATGGGCGGAGGATATGAAGAGACAGTTCTCCAAAGAAGAAATTCAGATGGCCAACAGGCACATGAAAAGATGCTCCACATCACTAATCATCAGGGAAATGCAAATTAAAACGACAATGAGATATCACCTCACACCAGTAAGGATGGCCAGCATCAAAAAAACTAAGAACAAATGCTGGCAAGGCTGCAGAGAAAGGGGAACCCTCCACACTGCTGGTGGGAATGTAAGCTAGTTCAACCATTGTGGAAGGCAACATAGAGGTTCCTCAAAAGACTAAAAATAGAAATACCATTTGACCCAGGAATCCCACTCCTTGGAATTTACCCAAAGAATACAACTTCTCAGACTCAAAAAGACATATGTACCCCCATGTTTATTGCAACACTATTTACAAAAACCAAGATATGGAAGCAACCTAAGTGTCCAGCAGTAGAGGAATGGATAAATAAGAGGTGGTACATATACACAATGGAATACTATTCAGCCATAAGAAAGAAACAAATCCTGCTATTTGCAACAACATGGATGGAGCTAGAGGGTATTATGCTCAGTGAAATAAGTCAGGCAGAGAAAGACAAATATCAAATAACTTCCCTCATTTGTGGAGTATAACAATGAGGCAAAACTGAAGGAACAAAATAGCAGCAGACTCACAGACTCCAAGAAGGGACTAGCGGTGACCAAAGGGAGGGGTCGGGGAGGGCGGGTGGGGAGGGAGGGAGAAGGGGACTGAGGGGTATTATGTTTAGTACACACGGTGTGGGGGGCCACGAGGAGAACAGTGTAGCACAGAGAAGGCAAGCAGTGAATCTGTGGCATCTGACTACACTGATGGACAGTGACTGCACTGTGGTATGGGTGGGGACTTGATAATATGGGTAAATGTGGTAACCACATTGTTTTTTCATGTGAAACCTTCATAAGAGTGTATATCAATAATACCTTAATAAAAATTTTTACAAAAGAGTGTATATCAATAATAGCTTAATAAAAAAATTAATCAGGAGGAAAAATGATATGGAGCACAAAAGGTTTCAAGGAAAGAAAGAGTAAGAAATACTATAAGCAGCAAAAACGTTCCGAAAATGAAAAAAATGGCAGGGGAGAGGTAGGGAGTTGGTCCTGGATCTGACCTTACAGCAGTAAACATGTTGTTTGCAAAAGCACATTTAATATAAATGTTATTTTATGAACCGAACTTCAGAAACTCAAGACAATGTGGGAAGGGCCTGTAGAGGCACTCACTGCTCTTGAGCAAAGGGAGGGCAGGCGTCAGATTGCAGGACGGCAGGGAACACAGGCAATGAGAAAAAGCATCGCTGGTTTGCTCTCATCTAAAAAGTAAAGAAACTCAATAGCAGTTGCATGAGGCCACATGGAGAGCCCAGTGCAGATTTAAGGTAAGAGAACTGTAACGTATTCTGAAGCAAAAGGGCTAGGACTCCTCAGAGATGGGATACAGGCCTCTGGTCAGAGGGTAACTGTGACATACTTCAGGGCATTTCTGGAATTCTTGGAATAGGGAAAAAAATGACAATGTTTTTCCGGAAAGAGAGGTGGTGTTCATAAACATCTTTCAGCATAACTCAAAAGAATAAGTCTTTGAGAACAAGCTCCTACATGGATTAACAAGGCTTTCTAAATCATACATTAACTAATAACTGGATTTCTTAGATCCTTGGATTGGCATGAACAAAACCGAGGCGAGGTTTAAGGTTAAATCCTTGTTTAAGATCATTAGGTAGAAGAACACTTTTCTCCTTTTACAGATTAATGCAAAGCAGGCGACAAGGTCATTTTTAACAACTGGGGAAGTAAAATCTGCAAACTTTCACATGACTATTGTCATTAAGGTCCTTGAACTAGATTCCCTACAAATATGTTTAATGATGAATTAAAATCAGTTTCACTGACTTTACAAACATGTCCACTTAAAAGATAAAAAATCATATTCAAACATATATTATAGAGGGTACACAGTCCTATTAACTGTACTTGAGGTCACTACCTCACATATTTCCGGGAGCTATTACAAATACTGCAGCCATTTTGAAAATATTGAGTATGACAACTTGTACTAAAAAAACCCAAAAGACAGAAAATACCTCTACAGCTTGGCACCTGACAAATTAAACAAAATCAGAAAATCTGGATGGATTGGCCTTGAGACTTACTCTCACGAATGAATGCCGTAAGGGGTTCGTGTAACAGATTGTCAGAGTGAGTTTATGAATCTAAAGATCCTTCAAAAAAAGCAAAAGAAAGAAACGCCAAAAACACATAATTTTGGTACTAACCTAACTGTGTCACAAATATGTTGAATTTTCAGATTACAATCATAAGAGTACTGAAGAGGTAATGAGTTAGTATTGAATAATTACCACCCAAAAAGCATTAAAAACATGTTCACAACAGCATTAAACTCCTATAATCCCTAAACTTCTTTCTGCTTCAACTTGAGCTTCCCCATAAGAATTTCTGATAAACTACTGTTGTTGATGATAACCTTATAATCGCAGTCTTACATTTTGCTATCTCTCCAATGAGTATTCATCTAACTAGTTTTACAGCTACATGGTCTGTAGTAGTTTTAAGTAAACTTTTTTGTTAGTGACTGAACATGACAATGTCTTAAACGTTTTTGTAAATGTAATATTCAAGTGCATAAATTGTGCTATGAACCCATGTTTTAATGTCATTTTCATAAGGTTCAACAATACCTTTCTGACAGAAGAGGAAGTTCAATATTTGTCTAACACATTTGATCAAAATTTCTTTTGTTATCAATGGTACAGAATCTTTTTTGCGAACAGATCTGCTTTGAAAGAAATGCTAGAAAGACTCCTTCAGGCTGAAGGAAGGGACAGTAGACAGTAAGCTGAATCCAAATGAGTTCATAAAGAACACAGGTAAATTAAGAGTATAAATGTGTTTTATACTGGTAACTCTTTTCATGTATCTGATTTAAGAAACAAGTGTGCATTAGGTAATAATTTTAAATGTGTTTATGGGGATATCCTGTATAAATATGTAATTTGTAACAGTACAAAGGGAGGGAGGGAATGGAGCAATAAAGTAGCAAAGTTTTTACAAAATGTTGAAATTAAGATGGTATTAATCCTAACTAAATTGTTATAAATTAAGATGTGAATTGTAATCCTTGAGGCGATGACTAGGAAAATAATTCAAAAAAATAAAGTAAAAATAAACAGGGAATTAAAATGGTACACTGGAAAATATCTAACACAAAAGAAGTCAGTAAAGGAGGAAGAGAAACAAAAAAGATGTAAGACATACAGAAAAGAGAACAAAATGGTAGTCATAAACCCTACCTCATGGGGTTTAAGCCATATCTTAACTGTATATGGAATTAAACAGTCCAAACAAAGGGCAGATTTGCAGAATGGAATAAAAATACATGATCCAATCACAGGCTGTCTACAATGGGCACTCTTTACATACTAAGTCACAAATAAGGTGAAGTAAAAGCATAAAAAAGATACACTGTGCAAGCGGTAACCAAAGAGAGTTGGTTGTATTATCAGACAATACACACTTTAAGACAAAAATTGTTATGAGAGACAAAGAAGGACATTTTTGTTTTTATTGTGGTAAAAGACACATTTTCTAAAATTTTCCATGTTAATCTTTTTAAGTGTACAGTTCAGTAGCATTAAGAACAGTCACACTGTTGTGAAACAGATCTCCAGAGCTTTTCATCTTGCAAAACTGAAACTCTGTACCCATTAAACAGCTACCCTTTTCCCCCTGGTAACCACTGTTCTACTTTTTCTGGTTCTATGAACTTAACTACTTTGATACCTCAATATAAGTGGAATCACACAGTATTCATCTTTCTGCAACTGGCTTATCTCACTTAACATGTTCTCAAGGTTCATCCATTGCGTAGCATGTGACAGGATTTCCTTCCTCTTTAAGGCTAATACTCCACTGTCTGTATATACCACATCTTGTTTATCCATTCATCTGTCAATGAATAATTGGGTTGCTTCCATCGCTTACCTACTATGAACAGTGCTGTTATGAACACTGGTGTGCAAATCTCTTCAAAACCATGCTTTCAGTTCTTTTGGATATATAACTAGAAGCAGAATTGTTGGATCATACGGTAGTTCTATTCCTGATTTTTTGAGGAAACCTCCACATTGTTTTTCATAGTGGTCGCACCAGTTTACAACCCCACCAACAGTGTGCAAGGGTTCCAATTTCTCCACATTTTCACCAACACTTGTTATTTTGCTTTTTAGATAGTAGCCAATCTAATAGGCATGAGGTGACAAGAACATTTTATGAGTCAATCTATCAATAAAATATCATTGTAATAAAGTTATATGTATCCAACAATACATGAAGCCCCAGAATACATGAAGCAAAAACAAAACTAAGGGCAGAAACAGACAGTTCAACAGTAACAGCTGGAGATTTCAATAGTCCACTTCTGACAATGGATAGAACAACCAGATGGAAGACTTGAACACTAATCACCCAGAACTAAGAGACATCAACAAAATACTTGACCCAACTACAACAGAACACACATTCTTCTCAAGTGCACACAGAACATTCTCTACAATAAGCCATATGTTCAGCCATAGAACAAATCCCAATAAACCTGAAATGTCTGAAACTACAGAAGTATGTTCTCTGACCAGAGAAGAATGAGCACAAGGGTGATTAACAGTGATTAACAAAAGCCACACATCCTGGGCCTGGATCAGGCGACGGCATCGCTACAACACCAAAAGCATGGGCAGCACCAGAAAAAAACAGATAAATGACTT